TGTCCATGTATTTGAAGTTGAATAGATTTTCTGATTCAGATAATGATAAAATAATCAGAGTATTATTAACACATCAACAAAGAAATGAAAGAAAACTGGTAGAACCGCAGATGTAATGAAAAAGTTGCTACTTTCTTCTCATGAACAAGAGGCACCGTGTAATGTAATTGTTCAAGGTAAAAAGTTTTGAAAATGTAAATAAACAAAGAAGTATTATTAAATATTTCAATTCATTGGGTAGTGTCAGTGAGCAGTACTTATATTTTTCAGAGCTTATAAATGTTTATTATGTGGAACGAAGAACAAGCATTAAGTTTGAAGATGAGACTAATTTTCATGCAGCTATACAGCTATAAAGTAAGGGTAAAACATTAAGATATCAACAATAATGTTATGAAAGATGTACCTGTATGCTTAGCATTCATTGCACTTCATGGAATTATCAAAGCAAAGGTTGAATATCTACAAAAAACGTAAAATCAACAGGGAAAGCTCCAATAGATCTATGAGAAAAGCATGAAAATCGTAAAAAAACCGCATCAGAGATCAAAAAACAGAGATTCTAATTTCTGATCATGTGGTTTTTGTTCAATTTAAATATGCTCAATAATTAAAAGTTCCAATGTCGACAACACAACTATATTAGTATATAAAACATTTAATTAGTTCTAAGTGATCTCAATGAAAATAACATACATTCCCTGTTATTTGCCTGTACCCTTCATATGTTCTATTGTAACATTAATTTCCACTACCCTGACGACTGTGTACATATGCTGATCTGTTCATATATCTCTCATCATTGCAATTTACAAGGCAAATATAATTTAGCGGTATATTTAACTGGGCTGATTATCAACTTGAATTGCAATATTGGAACGCTTCTATACCATGTCACTTGCAATCAAACTATTCAGTTATTAATTAGCATACACGCCAGAGTAATATGGCTTGCATTTCTTATGAAACATCAGACCTAAGACAAACTTTTGAATCATTATAAATGTCGGATGAATGTATTATTTGTAAGTTGTACCTAATTATATGCGTTGCCGCAAGTTTTATTGGCTTTATGAAAATAGCTACAATATATTTTTCTAGGTCATCCTAAGCTACAGGAGTACGAGTCGGTCGGCAAATTTATAATAAATATGTCTGGCTTTTAGTATTTTCGAGCTGACTTGACAGTGGCCTGTCAGGATAGCAGCATTCACAAGATTCCACGATTAATAATTACATAATTTTCGTCATCACGAAAATGATTAAGAAAATTAAGAGAAAAACAGTTAAAAATAAATAATCCCTGTTTTGCTACTCCAGTCGTTTAGATTCAGCTAAAAGAGCAATATTTTTATAGCGACAGGTACAGCTATGGCAATAGGCTATTTGACATAGTTTTGAAGTAGGTTTTAAATAGATAATATTCGCTCTATTAGACCAAAAAAATTAATACTATATTTTTCAGACCTCAAGGACTGTAAAGCTTTAATTTAAAAATATATTTTTCTTAAACAGCGCTGTCCACCATATTAAGGTAATACGTTATACCACTTATTAACAGCTTGTAGCTCCAGCATAACCTCGCAAAATGTTAACCATATAACACATGACTTATATTAGTTTACATCAAAATATAGTATCTATCGTTATTGTATCGACAGAGAATGTAAAAACACATCGATAAACACCTCAGGAAAACTGTGGATTAGAGTACCCCGGGAAATAAATATACGCGACACTATGTATTGCTTGGAGCATGGAGCTTGGATCAGATTTTATTGTCTCCCGGAAAAAAAATAGAAACCATCAATCTGTCAATTTTCGCCAAATTTCTGATTTTACGAATCCAACCTTTTTTCCAATCAAACGAGAAAACGATACGTTTTTACGCAGACTAGGAGTTTTTTTTTAAGAAAACAACGTTAGTCCACGATTGACATTCGGATGAAGTTTGTTTACAATTTGTATGACGTCATATACGTATTAAAAATAAAACATATTTTTTTTTAAATTGGACTTATATATGCATCTTGCGCATTTAAAAGCTTAAATATATATATTTCGTTTTCCTAGGCCAAATACTCATTTATTCTTTGAAATTAGATGCGTGTCAAGTACCCCATTGTAGTACAGCCATTATGACCATATTACAGCACCTGGCCCGGCTATATATCTCGGCTATATCAGCTAACTCTCGGCTATATATTGGCAATGTTGTCTGCAATGTGTAGACTTTTACCAGAATTTTTCATCAAAGGTGTAACAATCATTCAGTAATAATTGACGAAATTGTTCACAGCCACAGTTTACAATCTGACTGCAATATATGAAAATATGTCAAACATGTGTAGCAAAATAGCTGGGCCATACTAAAAACATTGCCACATATGGCTGGCAACTAGATAACGTAGTAAAAATATTGCTCGCTTAGAAACGCTATGAGAACATTTTGCACCCCAAATGCGTATAGCGTACAGCGGATGTTTTCTATATCAGCGCAGATTTTGTCTGACACAGCTTGGAGATCATTGAATGTACATTTGAAAGAATTCTAATAGTAATTTCTTTTTGAGCGGAGGTAACCATTCGTCAGCATCTTGAATGAAACCGATTTTCACTTTTTACCAACATTTTATGGATGCTACTCTTCACGTAACACATTGACATGAGCTGAAGCGTTTTTTGATGTCTGAATATCTTTATTCATTATTTGCTTCAGTTTGTATTTCAGTTTCTGTATGTATATATATATACAGGGTGTTTCAGTTTATTGTTACATAACTTTAAGATTCGATAGAACTTTTAAAATTAATGCATAAAGTCTATATCAACATGGGTCGAAAAATGCGTGGCTTCCGAAATACAGGGTGTTTAAATTTACTTTCTAAAATAGTTTTTTTCTGCATAAAAAAGCTCTCCTGTGAGTTTTCGTTATAGTTAGCCATTTTTGAGATATTTCAATTTTTCAGGTTCGATGCATTTTTAATTATTTATGGGAAAATAATATTTTTTTTTTACATTTTCGATTTGGGCGTTACAAGTAATTAAGATGATGGTTTAGATTGTGTTTTTAAACACAGCAATAATTCCTAACTCCAAATAAACACAAAAAAACAGAATATTGATTTGTTTAATTTTCCAATATTATTTTTAACAAATTAAATTAATTATTTACAACTAAATTGCTATTGGATAGTTAGGACAAACATACAAAATCTAAAGTAGTTGCTCGAAATGTAAACCCAATTGTTGATTATATATTTGCATGTTCAGCCTTTAAAAATTCCAAGAAGGTCGCAGCATTTAACCTTGCAGGCAAGGGTCCAAATAGTCGACTACGGTAGATACCAATCCACACGTTCACACTAAATTCATGCTGAAAATTTCTTTCCCGAACTGCATGCGGATTTTCATGAGACCAAATGAAAATTTACCACTCCACGTCTTGTGAAGCAATACTCATCGGTCCATAAAACGTTACTTAAAAACTCCCTATTATTATCAGTTCTATCAAGAATCCACTGACAAAATGTGATTCTTCGTTCTCCGTCCCCTGGCTGTAGTCCTTGCACAGGTTGCAAATGGTAAGGACGTCTATGGTCATTTCTAAGAACACGGTGAACATGGCTTGCTGAAATTCCCAAGGCACCAGAGACTCTCCTAACACTGGTGGTCGGATCTCTATCAAACTCACCCAGAATCATACGGGTAAATCTGCGCTGACAAACATTTATGTTTTGATCCCTTTGGAGATTTCCAAAACCATTTTCAATTATTTGGCGTTGCACTCTTACAAATACTGAGCGAGTTGGATGTCGTCTGTTTGGGAATCTTCGTGCGTATTCTCTGGCTGCTTCTGCTGCGTTTCCATTTACAAAGCCATACACAAAATGAATATCCACTAAATCTTGATTGGAGAATAAAAATGGCATTTTTATAAAAATTACAGAAAAAACAGGTAAAAGAAACTAAATTTCGTGCATTCACAATTGCAAAAAAACGTTCCAGGTTTCAACAGACAACAAAACTAACTGTCAACTAATTGACGTTTAACCTTATTCTACTTTCAATTTCAAAAATATTTGCAGGCACACTTCTAAAAATTATCGAGATACTGACTTTTTAACGTTATTTTATCATAGGTAATTAAAAATGCATCGAACCTTAAAAATCGAAATATCTATAACGAAAATTCACAAGAGAGATTTTTTATGTTGAAAATTGCGAAGAATCAGTTTTTTATTCAAAAAGAAAAAAATTGCACTAAGAAAAAATTTTCGGTCATTTTAATACGCTACAGGTACAGTAGAGAGCGCCCTCTAGCGACTACAGTAAAACTATGCCCATGGTTCGTTTTGTCGTACCAAAAAACCCTTGTATACCAATTTTCACTGTTATACATCAAATATTGTTCGAAATATTTAAAAAAACTATTTTAGAAAGTAAATTTAAACACCCTGTATTTCGGAAGCCACGCATTTTTCGACCCATGTTTATATAGACTTTATGCATTAATTTTAAAAGTTCTATCGAATCTTAAAGTTATGCAACAATAAACTGAAACACCCTATATATATATAAACATAAAAAACATTTGGCATTTATCTAGGCCTAGAACCCAGAACTGTCTACCAGTTTAAATACGTTGAATTTCAGTCTTAAGGCTTGTTTGGCATTTCAACCTAAATACTCCCGTTAAAAAGTGTACCGTGGCCGGCATTGAGTTGGTTACACATGAAACAGAAAATTTTTGGATATCAAGCGTACTTACAGAGCATATGATAAAGAATGTTGTACCTCCATGACTTCTCCATGGTAACGTCACCAACACAACCTACCAACAACGCACCTTACGTCACTTTGTTCAAACTGCAAGCATCTGGCAAGCAAAATTACACTTTGGCTCTATTTCTAAGTATTTTTCAGCTAAGCGAGCGGGACCACCAGGCTCCAGTTTCAAACATAGCTAACTTCACTTGATTAACATAGCTCTATTACAGTTCCGCCCAAGGTTAGCCCGTTCAGCGTGGAGGACAGTTTACACGTAGGTGACCGCGCCAGTCTGACGTGCTCAGTGACCAAAGGTGACCAACCTTTGACCATAACCTGGCACAAAGACGGCCGTACAGTCGAGCCTGGACAGTCTGTGTCCATAACCCAAGTGGACCAATTTACTAGCATTCTAATGATATTGAGCCTGAGCCCGGAGCACAACGGCAACTACAGCTGCGTGGTGAGGAACCTCGCTGCCGAGGTGTCACACACCCATCATTTGGTAGTGAATGGTAATGATTTGGCGAAAGGCTCGAGCCTGGCGTCCGTTTTTCATTATTCATATATACCTACATTTTAGTTTGTATCTTTTTTTCTATCTCTGATGTTCGTTTCTCTTGTTTTCTCTCAGTTCCCCCTGTAATTGAGCCCTTTTCCTTCCAAGACGGACTATCGGAGGGCATGCGAACCCGTACCGTATGCGGTGTGAGTAAAGGGGATCCACCACTAGTGGTCTCCTGGCTCAAGGACGGGCAACCATTGACCCCGAACCTTGGTGTCAACGTTTCGGCCCTTGATCCCTACTCTAGCCTCCTCAGCATTTCTAGCCTTGATTCGAGACACTCCGGCGATTTTACCTGCGTCGCCAGCAATCCTGCCTCTGAGGTCAGGTACACGGCGAAGCTACAGGTCAAAGGTAACATAATCCAACCTCCTCGTATACCTCACTACCCGAATGCCAATTTTTCTTGATGCAGTGCTGTAATACCCATACTCTTTTCGCAACATATTCGGGAAAATATATATTTCTACAGATACAAATGAAGGCAAGTACATCGACTCAAAACCTATGCATTGTCTGGTAAAATATGATTAGTGACACTAAACATAAAATTACATCATTGAAAATTATGTACATCTCATGGAAGCGGCATCTAAGGAAGTTACTGTATCTGTTTACCTGAAACGTTAAAGTTAATATAAACTGAAGAAATTTACAGTATGGTTTTATCATATTAGCTAATTTCCCCGAAATAATTGTGAAGTCTGGTTTTATTGGTGGAAGTTGTTCAATGGGTATTTAAAGCATGGACGCATAAAATGGGTACACCAATTTTTGTGGGAAAACTTTCGGTTTGACAACAAACAGTGAGACAACGAGTTTTTTGGGATTCAATCCAAGATTTTTAGGTATCGCAAACCATTCTGAAAGATAAGTGTTATTTTTATGCGAAAAACGGTTACGTTTATTTCTTCTAAACAAATTCAAACATTTCGTATTTGCGAGTAATTGAAAAAATGCGCTACGATATTCGAAAAACATACGTTATTATACACATTTTAAAACAAACCGGATGTGTCATTCATCTTTTGTTGCGAATTACTCACAAATACGAAATGTTTGAATTTGTTTAGATGAAAAAACTCAGCTACATTTTGAATCGGCTTGAAATACACTTTTTCTTTTACAGTTCCCCAGTAAAAAAAATCTAACGGATTCAAATCTGGTGACCGGGCTGGCCACGGTATTGTACCAGACCGCCCTATTCATCTGCCTGGAAAGTTTTGATCGAGATACTCTCTCACTGAGAGTGCATAGTGCGCTGGACAGCCATCATGCTGAAACCACATGTCCCTGTAAATACTCAGTGGCACGTCCTCCAATAAATTCTCTAAATGATTTTGCAAAAAATCTAAATAAACCTCAGCAGTCAAAGTCTCTGGGAACTCAAACGGACCGATTATTTTACCATTTAAAATTCCTGTCCAATGGTTTATCTGGAAGCGATATTGAGATTTATCTTCTCTCATCAAATGTGGGTTTGCTACGTGCCACTCGTGTAAGTTATGCAGGTTCATGTACCCATCTTTCTTAAATGTGGTCTCATCTGACCATAAAATTTTTTCAAAGAACCGTGGATCTTCCCTGTGTCTTTCTATCATTGTGCGAAAAAAAGCAACTCGGGGCTCATAATCCCGGGGCAGAAGAGCTTGAACACGCTGTACGTGGTATGGATGGAGCACGTTTTTTGCAAGATTCTATGGGCTGTACTTTTGGGCATACCTGTTTTTAGTTCTATTGCACGCACTGAAGTACTCGGGTCTTCTTCGACAGCTCCTAGCACCACGTCTTCGTAAGGAAGGAAAGATCCTCCCTCACCGTGTGATTGGTTTGGTAGTTGGCCCTCTGAGAACAGTAAGCGGTGCACATTTGTGAACACTCGATGATCTGGATGACGAGCTGTATTCGGGTACCTCTCACAGTAAAGTCTCGCTGCAGCACTAGCGTTTCATCTGCATTCCCCATAAATGAGGTGCATGTTAGCATATTCTTGTACGGTGTACACGGACATAGCGGCACTGCACAATCACACTATCAAAGATAGTCTAAGGAAAGCAAATGTTGTTTTGAAGAGCAATTAAACAGTCCAAATCCAAATCACAAGCGATCAACAGTCCAGTTCACGAATCCAAAATTAGTAACAGTACGAAATCAACAAGCACGAACATGTAAAGATGCGCAGTAAACGAAGGAGTACTGATCGGTATCAAAGTGTGCAATAGCAAGTAAGTGATGTGCTTCATCCATACCACATACAGCGTGTTCAACCTCTCCTGCCCCGGGATTATGAGCCCCGAGTTGCTTTTTGTCGCAGTTAAAAAGACACAGAAAAGATCCACAGTTCTTTGAAAAAATTTTATGGTCGGATGAGACCACATTTAAGAAAGGTGGGTACATGAACCTGCATAACATACACGAGTGGTACGTAGCAAACCCACATTTGATGAGAGAAGATAAATCTCAATATCGCTTCAAGATAAACCATTGGACAGGAATTTTAAATGGTAAAATAATCGGTCCGTTTGAGTTCCCAGAGACTTTGACTGCTGAAGTTTATTTGGATTTTTTGAAAAATCATGTACACAATTTATTGGTGGACGTGCCACTGAGTATTTACAGGGACATGTGGTTTCAGCATGATGGATGCCCAGCGCACTATGCACTCTCAGTGAGAGAGGATCTCGATCAAAACTTTCCAGGCAGATGGATAAGCCGGTCTGGTACAATACCGTGGCCAGCCCGATCACCTGATTTGAATCCTTTAGATTTTTTTACTGGGGAACTGTAAAAGACAAAGTATATTTCAAGCCGATTCAAAATGTAGCTGAGCTACGGCAAAGACTATTGGAAGCAGCTGAGCTTGTTAATAACCGTGGATTCGCTCGTTTAATAACCCGATCTTTTTAAGAAGATGTCGAGCGTGTATTGCGGCTGAAGGAAAACAGTTTGAGCATTTGCTGTAAAGGTAAATCATCATCTGCAGCATTTTGACGCCCACTGTTGTGCAAACAGTTATCCTTAAGGGTCCTTGTGCGTTTTCATAATCGCTGTTTAATTAGGAAATTTTGAAAAATTTTCATCAGTTTTTTTCAAATAAAAATTGTGCATAAGTTAACGAGTAATCTTCTAAGTGTTATACCATTTTGGAATCGTTATTAAATGCGCCAACTTTTAAGGTTACTTGCCAAACTCTCGTAGTACATTTTTTTCCAGTACAGCCAGTTAGAGTTGAGCAAAGTTTTACTTTGGAATACTTGGTTGGGAAATAAGTGGCAATTTTTCCTCAACGAGAAACGTTGGCAGTAAGGTTGAGACACCAGTTTGAAGATGCATTATTCATCATAACATTGTAAAAATAAAATCCAAAAAAAGTTAATATTTGTAGTAACAGGAGTTGACAGACTGCCGTAGGGTGTGAAATTTCTATATCTTCTTCAAAGACGTATGATTTTCAAAACACATACATAACATTTTTTAAATATTTTTCTGATAGCTGTTATGACTTTGCCTATCACCCGGTTTCGGCTTGACGTCGACTTCTGGGACAGCCTGTATAACAAATTATTGTTGTCAAATATGTTAAGAGTCCATATTTATGGAAATTATTTGCCAGCAAGCTATGCTATCTGTGAGATGCGTCCGTACATACGAGTAATTCGGTCTGGCCAAACTAGTTCGTATATGTTTGGCAAGCTCTGGATAATTTAATTATATTACTTTTCACTATTGCTTGCTCCAAAAGAAATTGCTTTGTTTATTTATTTGTAGTACACATATAAGGAAGAAATAGTTTTAACTATGATAATGCAAATTTTCGAAAAAAAAAAGAAGTTAGCGCCTCTTGACAAAATATGTCTATGATACCTAGATGTGTCTATTGAAGTGTTTATGAATTCATGTTTCATCTTTCTTTGAAAGATAGCTTAATCCGTTCAGAAATTGTAACATAATAGCGCAGAATTAAGCACGCAAATAATTTGGGAAGCATCTTATACCCTTTTTGGCGCTATTGGGATCAGTACTGAAGGACAAAAGTACTTCCAGCATACGTTCATCTAGGGCTCAAAATCTTGATTGTCTGAGACCATCTACTACTTACGGACAATTACAACATCCATAGCCAAGAGAAGCATTCTCTTGAGACGGCTCACGACGACCCATAGCGCCTACGAATACGCCATCGCTGATACCTAGTTTACTGTCTGATTTATGTTTCACACTATGCACACATTAATAGCTATTCGGCATATAAAAAAGTCTTAGTTCTATCCCGCATTTTGTGTTTACAGTATACTAGTCTGTGAAAAATTGTCCCTGATGATATCTCCATATCCTCAGCGCATCATCAGAGCACAGGATTCTATGTTTATTTTCAATAGCACTACAAAACAATGATAAAACAACAACAAAAGCTACTTCAAGAAAAACTCAGCGAAGTTGCGCAACACACGTCACATTGACAATACCTTTCTATAAAAATCTCGGCCTGACACAGTAACCAAAGACGTTAGTTATTATCCTCTAGAGATTATATATCAATGATTAAATCAGTTTTTTATAAGGAAAATCTTATATATTGGCATGATCGCAGAGAAGTAGCTAAACTAACGTCAATTAAGTGAATTAACTACTTACACTGCATCAAGGAACGAATTGGTTCTAAGTCCTGTCACCACCCCCGCCCCCTCACAAAAATCACCCTCCGTTGCTTTGGCACATGCGAGTCGAGTGGACCCAGTGGTCAAGGTACTGTTGCACCGTCTTTTGTTCTTGTTCTCTTCACTTTTCTTCACTATCGTAGCCTTTGGATATTTCCCTTTCTTTTGCATGCTTTGTATATATATTGATGTATTTTTGGATAGTAGGTTAATTGATTTTTAACAGGTTTACCGCAAATATACGAATACGTTGGTTTCTTGTGATCTCCGTGTAATTACAGACACTGGTAAAGCAATAGCACTTCACTAAGTAAAAGTAAAGCCAAACTGTTGTAAAGCTTAGCTATTAACTACAGAATTCGCCAGGTTTGGTGAGCACCACGTAGGGCAAAGCGAACGCCTTAAGCATTGTGTTATTACATATTTCAGAAATTTTAATGAATATATAATTGAGGAAAGTATCTTTATTTATTCTACAGGGTGACTTCGAAGTTGAGTCATTTATTTTAACAGTGAGTAGATCTGATCAAAAGAAATGTTTTTTTCCTTTAACATTTTTCTGGTAAAATTAAAGTAACAAAGTTATAGCCCTTTAGAAGTTTGAGTACCGTCCTGTCTCAATAATAATATTATGTGCTCGTGTTTGGCAACAACGGATATAATCCGCCTTATCGGTTCATCGCATCGGAAACAAAAAAGCCAAAGAATTTGAAACGCTTATCACGATGTTTTTACTACAATTGTATTCAGTTGTATTCAGTCAATGCGTCAGTCGGTAAGCGTGAGTGAATAGTGGTGTTTGTTGCGTGGCTCAAACGAAATAAAAAATGGCACATGTTTACGAAAATGCTGAACTTGTGTCGGTTTCCCAATCGAGTGCAACCAACTCCTCGTGCCTTTGTTAATGTAGTACAAAGGGCTCGTGAATCAGGTGACTTAAGACCTCACAGGGGAGGGCATGCCGGATGCCGGTTCTTCAATACTTATCGGGAGGATAGTTTATAAAACAAGGTAACATTTTTTTTTTTAATTTTATTTTATTTTTACACACATATTTTGGTTTATCTTCCTTCTACAATCATTATCTGAAAATTAATGACTCAACTTCAAAGTCACCCTGTATAATCATCCGTCTTCAAGTAATGAACATTAATTCTTTGTAAGTGTAAAGGCGCAATTCCACTGAGGCAACTTTTGGGCAACATGTAGCATACAGCATTGATGCATGCGGCATACTGTCTTTTCGTAGAGGCAACACAAAGCGACAAAAAAATGTCTCCTTGCCGCATGCCACAATTTGCCCGTTGTTGCCTCCGAGGGCGCCGTCAGCGACATGAATCCACGTGTTGATCCGTGTCGCCGGCTATCCAAACCCGTTCCGATCGGTGCGGCTTGTAGCAGGCGACAAAATGGAGTGGACCAACGAAGAAACTTTATCTTTAATTGAAGATCACCATAATTCGGTGATAGTCGTATGAAAAAAAACGTGATTATTTGATTTTGGATTTTAATTGCTTGCTTATTAGTGAACAAGTGATACTTAGCCCTCCGTATTGCTTAATTCAATTGAAACAAGTTCAAACTGATGCATATCTATGTAAGAGCTGTATTATACATTTGCGGTGGATCTGTTGCTATTTTATGTAGTTGGCGCCCATCAGTTGGAACGCCGCTTGATGTTCACACCACGCCACGTTTTCTAAGGATATATTTTTTACCCCTCACGAGTATTGCTTATTGCAGCAAAACCAGTAACTAGATTTCCGCCCCGATTGCGAAATATTTTAAGACTGCTGATTCCTTTTGCATATAGTAGGTAGAAATAATAGATTCAAAACAATATCTAATAACATTGGTGCTTTTGAATTTAGAGGGAAATTAAAATTTTATAATATATTATATTTGTAGTATTTCAAGCTGAACATTTCTAACTTTGCATAAAAGTTCAACACTTTTAATTTATTCAGACTTTTATTAGCAATTCAGCAATAACAGTAACTTTTCCTTGTTCATCAGAATTTTCAGAGCTTGTGTCAAACGTTTATAAAATTATCAAATATTTCTATCGTGCTGAGGTTGGTAGGCAAAGTAGCAACGATAGCCAAATATAGTGTTTTACTCAATTCATATAAAGGGAAGGATATAAAATAACTCTGGCGGTTTTTATGATTTTTTATGGAAAAATGCTAATTCTTATATATAGAATATTTCTACCTTCTGAGGAATATATCGCATATCTTACAAATATGTCTGCTTGAGGGGATTACCAAGAAATGTGTAGAGTGTGGTCAATGTTCCACCAACTTGGCACCATTCAAAAACGGTAATAATACGGTGTGAATAGTCGATTATGGGGTGATATGAATTTTACCAGCGCTGCAGCATAGCTCAGTGTTAAAGCTTTTAATCCCTGTTTAGAGGCAAGCTTTTAGAGCTTTGTTGGAATTAGGCTTCACCGCTTAAGTAAATAAAATGTCAGGTCACAATCTTGAACAACGCGAAAATACGACAATTTTAAGTTAAATTGTTTAACTATGGTATATCTCAGTTGAAAAAACAGATTCCAAAATTGTATTATTAATATCAAATATGTCTAAATCATCGTAACCACTACTGCAATTTGAACGTATGAAAGGTTTCATTTCTTTCTTCCCCCACAGCCCCTTATAACTTTAATCTTCAATGAAGAAGTTGATCTCTACAATCAACTAGGAAATCCTTTTAGGTATACAGTATTAAGTCCAATGCGGAAGTGCTAGTCAGGATCTTTGCTACCAACTCCACCAAGGACGTCCCTCCCAACGCCCAAGTGCCATCAATTCAAAGGGTTCCCTACACTATGCGGGAGGTAACATTCAGGCATAAGACCGTAAGACGGGTGCTCTTGTCCCTCGACATTACAAAGCTTCTGGTCCGGACTTGATTCCTGCCATTGTACTGAAAAGGTGTGCAGCGGAGCTTGCTCCAGTTCTTTCGCGTCTCTTCCAGATATCTTATGAATCCGGCACCTTCCCAGAAAACTGGAAATTTGCTCAGGTCCGACCCATCCCAAAAAAAGAATCTAAGACCGACCCTTAAAACTACAGGCCTATAGCTCTGCTTTCTGTTATAAGTAAGGTGATGGAGAGGTGCATAAATCGCGAGCTTCTGAACTACCTCGAACGTCACAGCTTGATTAGCGACAGGCAGTATGGTTTCCGGCACCAGTGATCCACTGGGGACCTCCTAGCTTACGTCACGCAATTGTGGAGTACACTCATCCAGTCTTATGGTGAGGCTCATGTCGTTGCTCTTGACATCACTAAAGCGATCGATCAACTGTGGCACGCTGCCCTTTTGGGCAAACTTCCATCCTATGGCCTCCCAGAAAAGCTTTGCAGATGGGTGGCTGACTTTATCTCTGGCCGCAAGATATCCATCGTAATTGACGGGTTCTCCTCTTCATCCCACAACGTCAACGCGGGTGTTCCCCAGGGATCGGTCTTGGCTCCGACACTGTTTCTCTACATATCAACGACCTCTTTTCATGCACGATCAACCCAATCCATAGCTTCGCTGATGATAGCACTCTACTCAGAGTGACAAGCCGATCTCTGCCGCTGAGCTGGAGAAAAGAAGACTAGCGATGACTTCCTCTCTGGCAAGAGACCTGGAGGCTAACACTGCTTGGGGACGCAACAATCTTGTCCAGTTCAATGCTTCCAAAACACAGTACTGCACTTTGGCGAACAAAAAGCGTCCTAGCGCTCATCCGGTTTCGATGGATGGCCGAGTTCTGCCAAATAGTCACTCATTTCGGCTGGTCGGAATTCAGATCACTGGGGACCTGATCTGGCACGAACACATTTCGTCAATAGCTGCAGCTGCTGGGAAAAAGCTAGGCTATTTGTTTACGGCTAAGAAGTACTTTTCTCCGCATGACCTTCTTACTCTATACAAGGGCCAGATAAGGCCTAGCCTCGAGTATCGCTCACACGTTTGGGGTGCTGCCATCCATGCTCGATGCTGTCCAGATGAGGGCGGTCCGACTAATGGATGACTCTTCTCTAACAGACAGCCTCGGGACTCGCACCGGCGGGCCAACGGCGATCTAGCTCTTTTCTACCGCTACACCAACAGGCTTTGCTCCCCAGAGCTCTCTTCCATGATACCGCCTCGCGATGTGCCTGCCAAACAGACGCACCTGTCTTTGGCCTCCCATCCTAACCGTGTCGAACTTCTTACATCCAGAACTGGCCGATACGACCGCTCACTTGTCCCGAGGGTGTCGAGATTGTGGAACAAGCTACAAGAGGAAGCTTTTCCCAATTCTACTAACCTTAGGCAGTTCAAAAATCGTATTAACAAGAGTTCTTTGGTATCATCATAGCAGCCGCGGTGTTCCGGCATTTAGGCTTCTGCCTGCGCGGCTGCTTCGAGGTATATACCTGTATAAAAAACCGTTCCTTTTTGTGGGCTTCAAATGCATCCTGAAAAATGTTATGTAGAATTTATTTAAAACTACAAAAATGCAAAGCAATTTGAATATGAATCGTACATATTCAAAAAATCACAAAAAAATATAAGAAAGTGAGGAAAAAAACTATATTTTACATAGTTTTAATATTCACAAATCGGCTATTCACGACCGTGGAAACGATATGAGCCCATGCAGCCGTAATCTAAAACATAGTTGTGTCATTTCAGTACCACCACGATGGCTCGTGGAACCAGTCGATGTCAGCGTTGAGAGAAACAAACATGTCGCACTACATTGCCAAGCGCAAGGAGTACCTACCCCAGTCGTTACATGGAAAAAAGCAACAGGTTCATTGAAAATAACGTTTTTAGTGTGTGCATGGCTTTTAAATTGAAATGTGGATTAGTAAGACTATAACAGAATCTACATAGCGTGTACCCTTATTTGAGATGCACCCTTTAGAGTTAACTCTCAGCGATTGCGAACTACTTAAGTCATCTTCCTGTATTTCTAGACACAGTCGCGAAAAATTTCAAAAATCACATGGGTTTTTGGAGTGTTACATGGTATGTTCATCACGAAAACAATGTCACCCATTTCGATGTGTCTGTCCATCCGCTAATTCTAGACCCCTGTATGTAAGTACCGCGCGGATATTAATAAAATGTTGACACATGATACTAAAGCGGGAAGTAAAATCCTTGTAGTTTGTGAAGATCAATGGCAGCATAGCTACGGGCAGAAATAAAAAAAAATCGGTCTAACTTCGTTTTTCGACGTTCGAGAGGCTCCTGACGATTTCCAGAAATATTTTTGTAGGGACTAAAAATTGAGGGTATATATCAACATATAGCGCTAGTAAAATGTACTATAAATACGCTTCTAGCCCGGTAATTCTGTGCAACTGTTTGACGTATTTCTCACATGTTGGTTTAAAAAATAGAATGTTTCCGACACACGCGTCGCATGGTCTGAGCGCTGGGTAGCTAGCGAGAATTGGTTATAGCAGGTGGCCGGTACTTTCGATAGAATAGGGAAGAAATTTCCAGATTTCAAGGTTGTCAAATAGGTGAGGACTATTTATTAATCGTATGAACCTGTTTGACTGACTTGATCCATCTACTTCTTTTTCATTTTCTTATACGGTTTCGTAGCGAAATATTATATCAGAAGGACAGCGTTGCATGAGAAGTGCAGAGTCACCTACTTGATACGCCATTTTTTGAACGTGATTTGAACATCTAAAGACATGTTTAATATTGGTGAATGTGCATGCTATAAAACCCGTAGCACTTTCACCATTTATTTGAGAAACTTGTGCCGTTGCCACATATTTTCAAATCTTTGGTGTGTTATCATCCGAAAACTCTTTGAAAAAATGTTACCACATACATATATGCTCCTAGTCTCCCCTTACAAACTAAAGATCACTAAAAGCTATTTGTATACTAGAGAACTTTTGAAGTGATCTCGGCGCTTCATTTCTTCGCTTTTGCCTAACAAGGATTTCACTAAAAACAATTCTTGTTTCCATTATTATATAACTATATGTAGTAACTGACCTGAAGCGTTTCCCCTTAGTAATAAACAATGTCAGCCATTTTGACAGTCTGATGATGATTCATCTGTCTAATGCATGCTTGATTGTACATTGTTAATGCTTTTATTTTTCATTTCATCAAAGCCCGATTATAGCAGGTAAATAGCTTAGAGCGCCAAGAGAAGTCTTTAACACATTTTTCATTTCTAGCCAGCAAATCGGGCGATTATGAGGAAATCCGCGACCATATGTACACAAAACTACTTGGCAACGGTACTTTACTACTTCAGCACGTGAAAGAAGATCGTGAAGGGTACTACTTATGCCAGGCAGATAACGGCATTGGTACTGGCATCGGAAAAGTCATACAGCTCAGGGTAAATTGTAAGTATTTTTGTTGTAGTAATGTATATATTATAGTTGTGCACTGTCTTACACACAGACGGTAGCGATGTGACACAACGAAAAAATGTATTACCTGAAGAATGTTTTTCTATTTTTAATATAAATCGATTTTAGAAGATATAAATAATCGATTTTTGTGGAATATTGGATTTTTTCTATCACTTGGAAAACTGCATGATTTTTTAAACAGGGTAGACCAATAATGCGTAAATGAAGCAGTGCTCTTAGACAAAAACTTGAAGAAAACTTTTTGTGGATTGAAGTAATAAAAAATTGAGATTCATGTTGTATAAATCCTACCACTTCAGGCATTTTCTTACAAAAAAAAAGTATTTGATAATATTATATTACGCACTAGTGGAATGTCACCGGTTTGGGGCTCTGCAAATAGGCCGCTAATGAAACTGGTTGAAAAAGCAGAGAAATCTATTCTGAAACTACTATACAACAACCTCATTTATACGGATCTAAACTTTTATACGCTGAAACAAAAATTCTAAGCAAAAAACAAAAATTATATATTAAAAGCATTACTATAGATCAACATAAAAATAAGAATAACATATTCTACAAGAATTATAATCAAAATACTAGAAAAAAACTCTTAAGTTACTTTACTCACCCCAAAGAAAGACATCATACTCAGAGCATTTATCTGTCAGACTCCACTATTATACAATATTCCAGCAAAAATTAATAAATATAATATCATTAAATTCAAGAAAGAACTCAAAGGTTGGTTAAGAGAAATTCCAAATTAAAACATAATAACACATATACACACACTTTGCATAAAAAGACTTGCAGTCCAATAATAGAATTGAAATTTATAATACACAATACGCCGCATTCGCTGTACTCGTATAATCTGATATATCATATATGCTATTTATTTTTTTCCAAGCACAAGGACATCCTTTTCTGGATTGAAATTACTTCACCATGGTGTATATCAATGTGAATAAATTATTATTATTTCATATACAAAATATATTAAATCATTTGAATTGATTATACAGGGTGGCGCATCGAAAACGAAACAGACGCATTTACTGGCAGCTTAGTTTTTTTTTGAAAAACGCTCAGACCCGTCGATTTTGTTTTCGAGGGGAACACAAGTTTGGCAAAAAATCACATTAGCACGTGCAGCCCCATAAGCGGGGGTGACACCACCCCCAAAATCTTAAATGGAAAGGTGAGCCAAGTGCTACCTTATTTTGAAGGTCTTTCAATTCCCTTTATAGTGATGTAAAATACATGAGCTTCAGATCAGTAGTTTTGAAGATTTATTGATTTAAAGCTTAAAGTAGACTTTAATAGGTACCTACATCAAATTAGTTTGTACTACTTTCAGAAGAAATTTGACTAAAAGAATTCACTTAATAAGTAAATGCTTTCCTTCACTACGCCCATGGTTTGTTTATCATTTTGTTGTTGAAAATAGCTATTGGAGCGTTTTTTTTGTAACAAACAAGTTATTTCTTGAAGAAAGATAAGGAAATATCTCATACTTATTTTAAATAAGAATTTAGTACATAGTTTGCGATTGATTTGACCAAACTTTGTTGCTAAAATAACTTTTAACGCTTTATTTCATAAATTAACCATGGTATATTCCACAGCAGAAAGATTTGAAATTATCGAAGTATTTTTCGGAAATAATCACTGCGCTAATAGAACAGCAGAAATATGTAATGAGCGACACGAGAACAGTAATGTGAATGGAAAATATGTTCTATAACTTGTAGCTAAATTTCGGGAAACTGGGTCAGTCGCCAATAAAAAACGCAACATTGAAAATCCCTTAAGGAACGACGCAATAGAAGTGGGTGTTTTAGGGCAAGTTTATGTAGATCCTACGTTAAGTACCCGCAAACTGGAGACTGTGTGTGGTGTTAGCCGACGTACTGTCCAACGGATTCTAAAGGCCCATAGTTTTCATCCGTATAAAATTCACCTGGTACAAGAACTTAATGAAGACATTTTCTATTCAACACTTGCTTTTCCGATGAATGTTCCTTTTTCTTAAATGGCGTAGTAAATCGTCATAATTGGTCCGATTCTAATCCCAGGATTTATCATGAGGTTCATACACAGCAGCCACAAAGGTTAAATGTTTGGGCTGGTATTTTTGGCGATCATTTAGTTGGTCCTTTTTTCTTACCTGGAAATTTAACCGGTGAAATGTATTTGGAATTACTGGAAGACGCCATAGATCCTGAATTGACAGCCATAATTGAAAATCAAATTGATCGGCGGTACATTGCGAATAGGTTGATGTTCCAACAGAATGGTACCCCACCACATTACGCATTACGTGTTCGACAATATTTAGATCAGATCATCATTGAATGCCCCCCAAGATCGCCAGATTTATCACCTTTGTATTTCTTTGTGTGGGATCATTTAAAAAGCAAAATCTATGCTACTCAGCCAACATCATTAGAAGGCCTGCGACAAGGGATTGTGAATGAGTGCCTTCAAATTACTCCTCAAATATTGCAAAATGTGCGGCAACGTTTTGAGCAAAAACTTTATTATTGCATGGAGAGTCATGGTGGCCATTTTCAACATTTACTTGCCTAACGGGTCAGTTCATTCTTCATTTTTAAATTACTTTGCTGCCAAATGTATTGATCTCCACTAATGATGATGTATTAGTTTTATTTAAGCTTTAAATCAATAAATCTTCAAAACTACTGAACTGAAGTACATTAATTTTATATCATTATAAAGGGAATTGAAAGACCTTTAAAATAAGGTATAACTCGACCCCCATTTCCATTTAAGATTTTGGGGGTGGTGTCACTCCCGCTTAGGGGGCTACACGTGCTAACGTGATTTTTTGCCAAACTTGTGTCCCCCTCAAAAACAAAATCGACGGCGTATTTCAAAAAAAAACTGAGCGGCCAGTAAATACGTCTGTTTCGTTTTCGATGCGCCACCCTGTATATTCTGAATTTCATTAAGTACCTTGTAATTATTTTTGTTTACAAAGTCAAGAATAGATTGTTAGCGAAACATCTCAATAAACTTTCAAACTGAAAGTTCATCATATAAAACTAGAGGAAAAATTGATGTTCATTTGAATTCTAAAAACTCTCTCAAAGGTTGCAAATCCACAAAGAATACAAGAACTCAATCAGCTATTCAATGTTTAAAATAATATTTAAAAACTGCCAAGAGAAAATGAAGTTTGTTTTTTAAAAATGTGTTTAATCGTATGTAATTTGTATTTATAGACACACAATCGTCGTTGTTTTGATGAAACCTCTTCTGTAACAAGTTTTCCACATCTGAACTTTCTGAATATCTGTTTGGTCAAATATACTAAGTGACATATAAATCCGAACACCCAGTTTAAATGGTTTTATTTTAATAAAAGTTGGTGAATGTATTTATCTTACTGTAAATAACAAGTGAAAAATTTTCAGTCTCATCAGTTGGACATTCCGGTTTTTATACTGTTTTTTTTTAATTCACTAACGCTCTAAAAATGAATATTTCAGCCGCAGTAAAGAATCAACGTTGGCGGATTTTGGTTCTTGACATCCTTTACGATCGGTTACAATGCCTAGAGTACGGAGACCTGTACGATTTCGTCAACTTAGTGAGTTTGATAGGGGCCGTATAGTGGGACTTCGAGAAGCTGGACTTTCTTTTCGGGCTATTGCAGTTAGAGTGCAAAGAAGTGTAGACACTGTGGTTAGGTGTTGTCAGGCACGGCTTCGAGAAGGCCGTACGCAAAGAGCAAGGGGCACTGGACGCCGCCGTAGAACAACCGACCGTAAAGATCGCCGCCTAAGATTATTGGCCTTAAGGGATCGTTTCTCCACTACCAGGTCTATTGCAAATGAATGGTTTGCAGAACACGGAAGACCTATTGGCATGCGAAGTGTTTACCGACAAATGAGAAGTTTTGGCTTGTTTTCATACCGGCCACACTGGGTCCTCCCTTTAACTCGAGAACACCGACGTAATCGCCTTGAGTGGTGCAGACAACGGTCACTCTGGGATCAGGAATGGAACAGTATTGTCTTTAGTGACGAGTCTCGATTTTGTTTAGGCATGCACGATGGTCGTGCCAGGGTTAGAAGGCGACGTGGTGAAAGGAGGAATCCACAGTTTTTTGTTGAAAGACATGTTCATCACACTGTTGGAGTTATGGTTTGGGCTGCTATAGCTTATGGTTCCAGGTCACCTTTAATCTTCATCAGAGGTAACATAAACGCGCAGCGTTATATCCACGACGTTCTAGAACCCCATCTTTTACCCTATCTTGACACCCTGGCAGATCCAACTTTCCAACAAGATAATGCCCGACCACATGTTGCAAGAGTCACAATAGGCTTCTTTCAACATAATGACGTCACATTGTTACCATGGCCACCAAGATCTCCCGACTTATCCCCAATTGAGCACGTGTGGGATATGATGGGTAGGAGATTGCTCAATTTGCAACGTCCTCCTCAGACTCTAGAAGCACTTCGAGAGGAGTACTTATACAAAATTTTATTAAAATAAAACCATTTAAACTGGGTGTTCGGATTTATATGTCACTACAAGAGTTTCATAATAAGAAACTCTAATAATTCTGCAGATATTTACTAAAAATAGGTGTGAAAGAAAGGGAAACCATTTTTTAAATCTAAAACGGTTAAAAACAGGAGTTTTCGTCAAAACAACGATGATATGCTATACATGTATAAAATATGTTTCTATGTATCACACACTGTGTGGTCGCCACCGCTACCGCGCCAGTTCACGGACGCCTTACCAGTTCTTATGTCTTCTTTAACTTGTGGTTGCGCAATAGTTGCTTCCTGAAGCACGTAATAATGCTGCTGTTTATCCCTTAAGCCTAATGTTAACTATCCGTATCGGTAACGATGCTTGTTTGTATTCCAAAACTGGGTCAATCATAATAAATTGCACTGCGATAGAAGTGTACTTTCCCTTTCTATTCACCCAGCAGGTTT